AACAGGCTCATCATGAATGATAGTCATGAAAGGAAAGTTTGCCCAACTGGACCAAAGTTGTTTGAGGTTTCACATCAGACAACTGAAGTGATTTAAATGATCATTTTTTTAAGTGGAGGGTGAAACATTAGCTGATACTAGCTCCCAGATTCACCAGGCAATCACTGTTTCATACAATCACAGAAAGGTTTGGGTTGGAAGGGACCTTCAAGATCATCTAGTTCCAACCCCCCAGGGATTTTGTAGCATTGGGATCTGTAGCTTTTGACTCTCTTTAATTAGAGAGATCCTCTATGGCTGATTTATTGCATGCATGAACCAGTAAGCAAGCAGATATGATTAAATAAGGTGCAACTTGCTATGGCTGTAGCTATTATAGTGTAAGAACAGCATCTGAGGCAGGTGAAGGATGTGTTTTATTAGCTATATGCAAAGAAACAGGCAACCTGAAGACAGGCATGTTTGCCCCAAAGCTCTTCTCCCTTTCCTAGCTATGCTTGTTGCTCTAATCAAATATATCACTTCCACAAACCTCATCTTGCCTGCAATTCAGTCAAATCCTCCCAGAATCACACCGTGTGACAGAGCTTTGAATTCATTTCAGAGCTGCTGTAGCTCCCATCCAGTCCCTCTGCTTTGCCCCGTGAGCAGGAGGGATTTGTAGCACTGCACAGCCCCTTCCTTTGCCTTTGTAGTAACTTTGCAAAGGTTTAATAGCAACATAATGAGGGTTTGTGCCACTGTGGAGTGAGAGGAAAGTTATCTTTTGAATGTGTGAATTCTGGAGTGTGTGGATTAACAAAGTGAGAAAGAGCAAAGGTATGTTCATAACAGCAATTGATGGAGTTAATGGGCATCACAGATGGATCAGCCTGACCTTTTCCATCTCCAATTCCATAGTCTGCACTGCTCTTTGTAGTGGGTGGTGAAGAGGAAAATAAAATAGGCTAGAAAAACTTTCTGAGCTCAAAACTAGGATAAAAATGTAACATTTTGAGGCCATGGGGGAAAAAAAAAGTCTTCTCTGCTTTAAAAAAAAAAAAAGAGCAGTAAGTAAAAAAAGTATGAAATAAAACCAGAAATAGAAGTAGAAAAAATAGAAGTAGTAACTTCCTGCTCTTAGAAATTTAAATTATTGCCTTATCATTCTAATAATTTCTCCTTTTTAATAATTATCCTTTCTCACACATGGGGCCTCATTATATTTTTTACTGATTACTTTGAAATGGGTGGTTAAACCAGCAAAACTCTAGGACATCTTACTCATCTGTAGGGTCCAAGAGTTGAAGTGGGAAACATCTATCAAAATCTCATTACTTTGGGAACTCATGGCTTATAAACCTTAAATTATTTTTAATATCTTCAATTATGGTGCCATATCTAAGCCATAAATTCTGACAAAACAAATTGCTGATGCATTTGAAGGAGTCAAGTAAACACTCCCAGCACCAGAGCAGCGACAGAGGGAGCGAGGCAGGAGCGTGGGGTGAGGATGGCAGTGAGGTGGGGACGGCACATTGCTTTAGGAACTCCTACTCTTGTTGTTTTTGCAATAAGATGCCCATATTTCCTTGGAGGAGAGGAGAGAAGGTTAATGATATCAGTTCCTGGGAATACAGGCACTCCCCAGTGACTGAAAGGGAATATTTCTGGATGCCCCAAAGATCATCATTTCACTCCCAAGTGTCTGCAGCAGAAAGACATGCCTGTCTGCCTTCAGTTTCATAGCATCACAAAGGGCTGATTTATTGAGTGGTGTCAAACTTCTCAGCAGCCTTTGAGCTCGTGCTCTGTAGGGTTTGCTTGGGGATGGAGGAGGCTGAAATGGCTATCAGTGTGCAAGGCAGTGTTTTAAACTGAGCAGCATTAAACTGCCTGATCCTGCACATCTAGGATCATGCAGTTTGTTTCAGAACAAACTTGTTAAGTTTTGTGTGTCATGTAAGGAGAAATCTTTTCCCACCAAACCCAAATATGTTTGGGAGTGAGAGTGATAAGCCTCTGAATCCTTGCTAGATAATTGCCTCTACCTGCTGGGACAGTGCTCAGAGGATTCATTCATCTCTAGCATCTCTAGGAGGTGGAGTTTGCTAAAGCACAAGAAGGCTAGAAAGCTCAAAAACTGCATCAGAAAAATCTGACAAGTAAAGTAAAATGAAATGCCCCAACCCTGGCAGTGTTCAAATCCAGGTTGGATGGAGCCTTGAGCAACCTGCTCTGGTGGGAGGTGTCCCTGCCCAGGGCAGGGGTTGGGGCTGGATCATCTCTAAACTCCATTCCAACCCCTAAAATTCTATGATTCTATGACATACAGCCATGAAACCTGTGATCAGGGCAAGGATAGGGGTCAGCACTGAATTCAGTTGGTATGGCAACTTCATTAAATGTATGGGTAATAAAGGCTTGTTTCTGTAGTGGTTTATTCTATATTTTTTATTTGATTATGTAATATTATCTATTATTCTGAATTCTCTTCTTTCTCTATTATTTTTGCTCCAGTTACACTGTTCAACTCCAACTGGACTCTTCCTATAACACAGTCAGAGTAGCATTGATTGCAGAGATAAGAGCCACACAGTGAAGGTGATGCAGACAGACAATTATAAATACAGCTTTGTTTCACAGGGTGGACAGTCTTCCCGTGAAGGTCACTCTGACAATGCTCCAGGATGTACTGGTGGAGCTGGTGACTGGTGCACCGAGAGGCCAAGCAGTGTAATCAGAGCTGACATCTGGGTGCTCACTGTCAGCCTGTCAGGAAACTTGTTTTGCTCTGTGCTAGACCTGTTCTCCCTGGGCAATGGGAAAAGCCTATGTGACTGTTAAAACAAGAGTGGAAAAATATGTATCTGGAATATGCATTGCTTGATCTTGCCAAGCCAAGTGTTTATTGTGGAGGCCAGACACATCTGTCCTTCTCCAGCAGATATCATGGTGTTTCTTGGATGAAAAAGGCTGAGGGTAGGGGAACAGTGGAAGAAATTGCTTCAGGAGATTGACTTATTGTAGTCCTAGATAATATGGGCCCTGTCAAAAGCATGTTAGCCACAATAAAAGCTGCCACTGAGGGAGAGGAAAGCAATATTGCCTGATATTGTGGTTACCTATTGTGCTCGAGGTGAGCAGGGGGGAATTCTTCATTCATCCTTTCTTCATTTGACCTTGGTGATCAGTGTGAGTACTTCAGGGACTTCTTTTTGCTTTATGTAATAAAACATCTGTAATAAAAGATATTTTTAAAAATTGGTTTTGGGAAAGAGACTGGAGGCATGGATTGCAGACAGCTGTTTGGGTCAAGGGGTTAGGGTTTTGCCAGGCTGCAGATGGGGATGGAGAGGAGGACAGGCTGGAAGCCATTCTGAAGCTGAATCCATCTAAACTGCACAGGCAAGGAGAACAGAATCTTAGTGAGCTGCACCTGATCCCAAGTTTGGGAAGAGAGAGCTCAATCCATGCATTACTGCCTGTGTGGGGTGTTTCCCTGAATGCTGCTGGTGAATGTGTCTGCTCTGAAAGCTGCAATAAGTGTGAATAACAATGCTCATCACAAGGTTCATCACACTACCTTTGCATTTTCATGCCCTTCCAGATTTACTGGAAGGTCTTGGAAAGCAGCAGCTTTGGCAGAACAAATTCGTTATATCAAGGATAAGGAATTTTTTTCTGGAAACTTGATGGAAGAAATAAGATTCACCTCTTCATTCACAGAGCACATAAATCAACCTAGAGAGTAGCCCAGCAATTTGTAAAGTATGTGGGCTCAAAAATAACCCTGTTATGAAATAGGACATGATGCACTGCAGTGGTATTAGAGCAGCTTCGCTGTGCTCGTTCCAGAGGAAGCAAATGACAATCATTTGCTGCATAATAATGGATATTCTACAGCAAAACACAGACCTGAAGCATCCTAGGCAATGTTTGGGCTCCTATAGGGTTAAACACAGTGCAGAGGTGAAGGGTTGGCTCTGCAGGGTGCTGAGCACCTCCAGCTGCATTGAAGCCAAGGTGTTCCAGGGTGTCTCTCAGTGTGTCACCATACCCAGAGGTGCACAAGTTTGGTGGAAGTGAACCTGCACTGAATACTCTGCACTGGAGGGAGGACTATTATTTTCAGTTAAAATCAAAATATGTTAACATGTTGCCTTTCCTTAAGCTTTTGGATTGAACTCAGAAGATAATTTCATATGTTACTGTGATTTCCCCC